CCCCCCGTCAATGTTGTCCCGCTTTACCAATGTTAAAATTGGGTCACCTTATCCTAAATTGAAAACGAAACTGGGTGAAAGTCCCTGCGGGCCCTTTCAGGGTCGAAGGTCTCAGGGGTCACGCAGCCTCAGGGTGACTCTCGGACCCGGACCCTCCAGAGACCCGGGCTTGTTTGTGCGGAGGGAGGCGTCCTGACCTGTGGCCGGTCCCGGGGTCACTCACCGTCCTCGCTCTGGTTGTAATAGCGGCGCAGGTTCTCCAGGCTCACTCGGAAAGTCTGTGCAGCGCCCTTGGCGCGCCGTGTCTGCTCGTCCCAATACTCCGGCCCCTCCCGCTCTATCCACGGCGCCCGCGGCTCCTCCCTTGGATTCTCCGCGTCGCTGTCGAACCGCACGAACTGCGTGTCGTCCACGTAGCCGACGGAAATGAACCGGGGCTCCCCGCGGCCGGGCCGGGACACGGCGGTGGAGAAATACCTCATGGAGTGGGACCCTGGGGGGCGAGAGGGGCTGAGACCCGGCGCGACCCTCCTCCCGGCGCGACTTCCCGGACCTGCGTCCCCGCCGGAAGGTCCCCTCGCACTCCTCGCAGAGACCATTTCCCTTCCAGCCCCGCACTCACCCGCCCAGGCTTCAGTCAGGACCAGGGCCGCCGACAGCAGCAGGAGGAGGGTTTGGGGCACCGTGACCCCCATCTTCTGGTCTGAGGAGAGGCTGAGTCCGGGTAGCTCTGTGGAGTCTTAATAACCGGTAACCGCGGCGACGCTGATTGGCTTCTAGAAACCCACACCCAATGGGAATGAGAACTACTGCAGGTCAGCAGAATCCAGGATGAAGGACCTGACCAGGGTTGGCTTAGAAAGAGACCAAACTTTGAGGAGATGGGGAATCTCCAGGACTCACCTTCCCCTCTCTGAAACCGCTGTTAGGACTGAGACCCTGAAAGCCACAGCCAGAACCTGGGGCTTTGCCCTGACCCTGCTTCTCCTGCACCAAGGACTGTTTGTCACGCTATCTCCTGAGCCTGGCCCAGGACTGGCCCCCAGTCTGGGTCCAGCCTCTTCCCTGAATACCCCAGAACTGGACTCTGCCTCCTACTCCTTTCTCCCCGTCTGGACCTTTCTAAATGAAACTCATCCCCAGGGAACTTGATGCCAGGTAAGCTCACCCTTGAACTGGAGGTGCAGAGATGGTAGTTTTCTCTATAAACCTGGAGTTGTGTCTAAACACACCTGACGGAAACTCTCAGGGAGACCACTTTCCTTCTTGCTTATTAACTAGTGTGTAGCACAATCTTGGTAACACCTCAGTGATCAGGAATCTAATCTGTAACAGAAGTGATTGTGGCCCCTTGATAGAGCAAGGTGTCTAAACTCATTACAACTAGACTCACGAAGCTCCCGAGTTTTACTTTCCTCGACTATGTAACTTGGATTCTGAGTTGTTGTATTTAAATCTATCTTCATTCCACAGCCCTTAGTCTATACTTGAGAGTGCAGGACATTTCCTCACACAAAGAAGCACAATTTGTGACTCTGTATTTCAACCGGGAGTTGTAGAACTTTAACCACTTCAAAGCTGCACGTGCTCAGTCAAAATGCTTTCACCTGTGCACGTGCAGTGCCTGTTTTATTGAATTATTCACATCTAAGCTGTGTGTATATGTTCAAGAGGATACTTGGTATTTTTAACATAATTAATATTAGTAGGAAATTACCTTCTTAGGTAGCCCTGCAAATGTATTAATTACCAAATGCAAAGAGCACCCTGCTAGGCTCTGTATTAAAAATCTATAAAACACTGTATTTAAATCTGAGAATTCAGCTGCTTTACAATTCTTTCCCTCTGATATTGTTCCTCCCCTACTGCTTCTCTGGCCCTTCCCTCTGTCCCTTTCATCCCTCAGAACCCTTCTCCCCTTAGTCCCACCACCTGTCACCCCTGAACTGTGGCACTAGCCTTGTCCCTCCCCTGCTGCCCACAACTGTTCTCCCCCGCAGTGGTCACCAGTCCTGCTACTAAAGTCAGATTTTATCATTTCTTCACTTAAAATGCTCCAACAGTTTCATCTCACTCTAGTAAAGCCCCAGGAAGACAAGGCATATGAGCATATGGGCTTTGGGCTGTTTTGATCAAAATTGTGTCCCCACAGGCATTCCTGATACCTAATAGGAATAAATTAATTACCGTTTAATGAATGAATATGATTTCAATAACACTGAATCACCTGAAAATCATAAACTAAAACATACTAAAATAGGAAAGATTTTATTTCATGCAAGTAAAATTCATTTCAGTGTAAAACACATTATGTGCTTATCTCTTGAGCTTGTGTATTAATTTTCTATTTCAGTATACCAAATTACCACAAATTTATTGTCTTTAAACAATGGCTATTTATTTGCTTATTGCTCCTTAGAAATCCAGGCATGGTGTGGATGGGTTCTCTGTTCAGGGTTTCACAAAGCTCTGCCCTCATCTTGAGGTTGGGGTCCTCCCTAAGCTTATACAAAGCTCATGGGTAGAATTCACTTTCTGATAATTGTAGGACTGAAGTCCTTGTTTGATTGCCAGCTATCAGGGTAGAGAGGCAGGTGGGCTGCCACTGGCATTCTTTGCTGTAGGAACTCTCCACTTTGAAAGCCCAAAGTCTCACACTGAGTCCTTCTCTGCCTGTGAATCTCATATTCCAGAAGAACCCAGTCTTTTAAGAGCTCACCTGATTAGCTCAGTTCAGTCCAGGATAATCACCATCTTAAAGTTAACTGATTTGGGACTGTAATTATATCTGTAAATTCCTTCACAGCAGCATCTACATTAGTGTTCATTGAATACCCAGGGTAAGGTGCATAATGAAGGCATGGTTATGGGGGGACATCATAGAGTCAGCCTAGCATGGCCTGGATCTTCCCTTTGTGTTTAATGGATCAGAGTTGAAAATAGAAGTTCAAATGAGTAGGTGTTTGAGAGTGGGAATACAATGCATCCTTTTTAGCCACGGAAATTATTCTTACATCCTAAACCAAATAACATGTTTAATATAATTAACGTATGAAAATTAAAGCGCAGTAATTTATTCTCAACAGAGGAATGACCAACAAACACATGAAAAAATGCTCATCATCTCCAATGATCAGAGAAATGCAGATCAAAACTGCCCTGACATATCACCTAACCCCTGAGAGAATAGCCCACATCACAAAGTCCCAAAGCTGCAGATGCTAGCGCAGTTGTGGAGACAAGGGAATAATTTAACACTGTTGGTGGGACTGCAAACACCTTGCACTTCCAATACAGGTGCTTTGGAAGGAAGCATGGGGAATCCTCCTCAAAGAACTCAAAATAGACCTTCCATTTGATCACTCAATCCTATTACTAGGTACCACCCAGAAGAAAAAAATCATTTTATCATAAAGACATTTGCACTAAATTGATCGTCACAGCTCAATCTTGACCCTGAGCTTCACAGTTGCCAAGATATGGAATCAACCTAAGTGCCCATGAACACACAGTAGATTAATAAATTATGGCATATGTACACCATGGAATACTATTCATCCATAAAAACGATGGAAACTTTACATCTTTTGCATTCACCTGAATAGAGTGAAAGTATCACAAGAATGGAAAAGCCAATATCTAGTGTATTCAATACTAATATGAAGGCAGTAGAGAACAAATTCCCACACAGGTGAAAAATTCCATTTAATTCAAATTGAAAGGAGAGGGGAGGAGAAAGGGGAATAAGGAAGGAGGGAAGGTATTAGTGGGCTCTCCTCTAATGGGCATAATGTAAAGGCATATGTCACATCTCCTGGGTGAGCGGCACTGCTAGAACAGGGAACTTACCTAACAAATACATACATTGTACCATAATCGTTGCTCCCTCATATTAATCTGAAATTTAAAAAATTCATCCTGTCTTTGGAAGTTGTATTAGTTATCTACTGCTGTGTAACAAGTTACCTAAAACTTAGCATCTCCAAAAACAAATATTTTTTTCTCACAGTTTCTGATACTCAGGAATCCAAGAGATTTTTTCCTAAGTTCTAACTCCGGGCCTCTCTCAAAGTTACAGTCCAGCTGTCAGCCAGGGCTGTATCATCTGAGGGCTTGACGGAGGTTGGAGATTGCATGAAATATGGTTCACTCATAGGGCTGTTGAAGAGACCTCACTTCCTTGTTGGCTGGTCCCAGGAGGCCCCAGTTCCTAGCACATGGACTTTCCACATGTTCCTTATGACACTGCAGTTGACTGTGATCCAAGAGAGGGTGAACCAAGGTGGAAGCCACAGTGAGTTTTATGTCCTTCACCCAGAGTCACAAACTATTCCATTCTCAATGCTCTATCAATTAGAAGTAAACCATTAAATCCAGGCCACACTCACAGTCAGGGATCTAACTTGCTCCTCTAGAAGGGAAGAGAATCAATGATTTTGCACACATGTCAAAAACAAAATTATAATATTGTTCAGAATTTTGTAAATCAAATGCTTCTTTCATCTGATTATTTTTCTGTAATGCTTTCAACTTCTCTTTTGTTTTTTTTTATTTTTTTTCAACTTCTCTTTTGAAAGTAATGATTGAAAGTTTCAGACACCACAGAGCATTAGGAGCTACATAAGAAGTTTGAGACACAGAAAGGAGATATAGTGATATCTCTATGTTTTCCATGCAAATGTCTTTACTAAGAATGTTTTCTTCAAGAAGTTGCTATAATGTTGAGAACATGTAGTATTTGGATCAAATAGGTCCAAGACGTCAGTGCCTTTTATGCCTTTAAAGAACAACTATCTTTGTTTTTTTCTAAGATTCAGAGCTGGGCACAGTGGCTCACACTTATACTCCCAGTGACTCAGGAGCATAAGACTGGAGGATCACTTGAGGCCTAGAGTTCCGCACCACACTGGACAACTTACCAAGTACCAGAGTCTAAAAAAAGAAACAAGATGGAGAAGGAGAAGCTGAAGCCTCATCTTCATATTTACCTAATTGAATTGCTTGTCAGTTAGAAAAATGTGAGTCTCAAACCACAGTCTGCACACCTCGCTTAGTATGGTGACAACAATTTTGGTTGATGCAGGAGGCAGAGATGGTCAACTCTAGTTCGTCACTGGGCATCCAATAATAAATTTCGTATCTTTCACAGTGCTTGCTTGCTTGCTTTCTTTCTTTCTTTCTTTCTTTCTTTCTTTCTTTTTTTTTCTGAAACAGAATCTCACTCTATTGCCCTTGGTAGAGTGCCATGGTCTTGCACAGCAACCTCCAGCTCTAAGGCTTACGCAATTCTCTTGCCTCAGCCTCCCAAGTAGCTGGGACTACAGGCACCCACCAAAATGTCCGACGATTTTTTGTTGCAGTTTGGCCAGGGCAGGGTTCAAAACTGTCACCCTCAGTATATGGGGCCAGTGCCCTAGTCACCGAGCCACAGGCATCACCATTCACAGTGTTTTCTAATGAGATATGGTCAGAGTGATTCAAATACCACATGGTTCTCAAAAGTACACTCACTATTTTTTTTTTAATTGACACAGAGTTTCACTTTGGCAGCATTTGCAAAGTGCTGTATGTCATAGCTCACAGCAACATCAAACTCTTGGGCTCAATCAATTCTCTTGCCCCAGCCTTCCTAGTAACTGGGACTATAGGGACCCACTACAAAACTGGGCTAATTTTATTGTTGTTGTTCTTTAGCGGCTCCAGGCCAGGTTTGAACCCACCAGCCCCAGTGCATGTGGCCAGCACCCTAACCACTGAGCTATGGGCGCCAGCCACTTCTAAAGTTTTCTAAAGCAGCTCTGTGTGTTTTCCATTCATATTTTCTGTTCCATCTTTGGTTATTCTATATTTTTATCACTCCTTGAAAGATACTGATTATTCTTTTATAATATTTTTCTGTTTAATTTATTTTGGTCAACACTCTGCTTTTCAATTCTGTGAAAGTTTAATTTGGTTGTGTGTGATAAATGAAGGTTATACACTAACTCCTTTGTAAGATGGAATTGCCTTCCTCATCAGGTTTGCCTTTCTATACCAGAGAATCTACAGAGTTGCCAGTGAGCAAAGGAATGATCTGGTTCTAGCCAGGGCGACTTTCACGGCATTCTGCTCTTTTCTGTCACATGGTGCATTACTACTAGCTGTGGCTTTGTTCCAAAGTAAGTAGTTCTTGGTAGGGATCTTGGCAATGAACTTTGGTAGTTTCTTTTTATTCTAAAAAAACTAATCAAAACTACATCCCAAGGTGCATCCAAAGGTGCACTTTAAAAAACTCCAGTTCAAGGAGTGATGATCTTGTAAGTACTTGGGTACCTGCCACTGGCATAAGAAGCAGAACCTATGAAGCCACCATGAGCTGCTGCCGGCACCCAGAGTCTTCATTTCTCTAAAGGTTTTTATATTGTCTATATCCCCAAACTAAATGTTAGTTAGTTTTGCCTGTTTTTAAATTTCCAATATACTGAACTCATCCTTCATGTTTTCTTATGTGGGACACACTATGTGTAGGAGGGTTATCTCCAATTTGGGAGACTGTCATTTATTTTTACTATTGAAATTCTCCATTTCATAATCATGCCACAGTTTTGCTACATTTTGCTATCTCTGCTGCTTTTCTTTAGTTGTATGTCGGGTTAATTCCACTTTTTTCCACAAACATTAGTATGCCTGTACATGCCAGAGCAGGTAAGCCAGGAGGTCCCCAGAGTGTGTGCTCAGGAGTAGGATGGTGAGATTGTGTGGTGTAAGTACTTGAACTGTACTAGTTAAGGGTAATTTTATTTCCAAGGTGCTTATACCAATTTAACTTTTATCAGGAATGTGTAAGAGTATAGGTTGCTCATGTTTTCTCAAACACTCAGAGAAAGGGAGGCATTAAGGGTTAAAGGGCACTGTCTTGCCTATAGAATTATCAGGCATTTTTTTTCCTCAGACTCTATTAATAACTTTTTTTTCTTAATTTTGACCTAATTCAAATGTACAGCATTCAAACTTATCAAGAACCTGTCTTTGAGAGGACTTAACATTGGCCTTTCCATGACTTTTCCTAAAGAGGAAGCAAATTTTGGACTTTAGCTGATCATAAACTTCTTCTTTTTTTTAATTTATTATTTTTTATTAAATCATAACTTTGTACATTGATGCATTTATGGAGTACAGGGTGCTGCTTCAATATACGATGTGAAATGCTTACACAGAACTAAGTAATACATTCACAATTATAAATATAAACCTCTTCTCAGAAGAGTCAAAGTAAAACAATAATTGACTGGGATTGACAAAAAGTCTTAGAATAGCCATGGTTAAAGACACAAAAAGAATTTGGCTATTTCTCTGGTATACAATGATTTATATAATAATTACAGTTGCTACTGATAACATATACCAAGACATATCAGAATTTTAGGAATCTCATGCAATTTTGGAACACGTATATTATTAGTAGCACATTTACATAAATGTAACTCAGAGAGAATTAAATAACATTTCATATTTGACAATGTTTCTGATGCAATTTAAATATACAAAATCCTACTATGTCTCTCTTGGACTTTCAGGGGCCCTCATCAAAATGTCAGTTTGATGTAATTTGAAATTTTGATTTTGGAAAGCTTTCAAATATCAAAGGCTTAAGAGTCTTGCTTAATACGAAATCATAGGTCACTATAAAGTGATGGTCATTTATTTCACCAAGAGTGATAGTCATCAAAAGATTTCAAGGAATATGCAGGAATTTAAATGAAGGTAAAAACCTTAACCCTTCTAAAGTGCAGGGGGGTTTTAGTTAATCAAAAACTTAATAAAGATAAATCACAAATTATCTTGATAAAGCATATAAAATCTTTGTTCTGTTAGGCCAGTTTCCCAAAGGGCAAAGAAAACTGTAGTACAATTGTTTCTTTTTCTGAGAAACCGATTTAGACACCTTGATACTTAAAGTTGATTTTTTAAAAAGGGGGAGAGGGGCCTACTATTAATCAGACACAGCAAGGGTGTGTCAGGGTCCTGATGGCACAGCAGATTAGAGAGACAGGAATGTGAATAAGGTAAACTGTACCTTCCTAGGGGAACAATTGACTCTCTGCAAACCATGAGAAGTTTTTTGACCATAGTAAGTACTTCAGACATCAAGAAAAGCCAGTATAAATTAAGTTATACTGTAAAAAACTATTTTTCTAATCCTTTAATATAAAACATTTAGTGGCAGGCCTTAACAACGGAGTTAGCAACGGTGGGGCGGGAGCAGGAGCAAAGAAAGTGCTAAAGCTGATGTGTTAAAAGTATTTTACTCTGTTAGGGACTGGTTGGGAACATAAATGCCCTCTATGTGTTTCCGGGTATCCACCACAAAAGAAATTCCGTTCAAATTTACCTACTTAATGTAGCCATTGCAGAAGCCTATTCATATTCTGCCTCCCTTCTGAATAAGGTATCACACTAACCAAAGCAAGTGGACGCTAGCTGTGATTCTGTGCAAGGTTGTGGCAACACTGTTTTATATGAACATGAACATTAGCATCATTTTGCTTGGATTCATCAGTTTGGATCGCTACATAAAAATGAATAAGTCTATACAACAACAGAAGGCAATAACAACCACACAAAGTATGTTTGCTGTGCAGTATACAGTCGTGCTTGCTGGATTTTTAACCATGAAATTTCTTTTTCTTTTTTTTTGAGACAGACTCTCAAGCTGTTGCCGTGAGTAGAATGCCCTGGCATCATTGTAGTTCACAGCAACCTCCAACTCTTATGCTCAAGTAATCCTCTTGCCTCAACCTCCCAAGTAGATGGGACTACAGGCACCCATAACACCCAGCTAGTTTGTCTATTTTTAGTAGAGATGGGGTCTCACTCTTGCTCAGGCTGGTCTCCAACTCATGAACTCAAGTAATCCACCTGGCTCGGACTCCCAGAGTGCTGAGATTACAGGGATGAGCCGCCACACCCGGCCAACCATGATTATTTTAACACTTAAGAAAGGAGGACATAATTCCATAATATGTTCCCATGATCAAGATAAGCATAAAGCAAAAGGAGAAGCAATTTTTATCTTCATTCTTGTGTTCATGTTTTGGCTAATTTTCCTACTAATAAGGTTTTCATATATTACGATTGATAAGAACCTATTCAGGATTTCTAAATGGATGTCAAAATTTCCTAATTCTGGTAAATATGCCACTACAGCCCACAATTCCTTTATCGTACTTATCATTTTCACTGTATGTTTTGTTCCCTATCATGCCTTTCGATTCAACTACATTTCTTCACAACTAAATATATCATTTTGCTACTGGAAGGAAATCGTTCACAGAACCAATGAGATCATGCTGGTTCTCTGATCTTTCCATACCTGCTTAGATCTAGCCATGTATTTCCTGATGTCCAGTAACATTGGCAAAATAACGTGCCAACTTTTTTAGACAAGTTCAAGGTGAAGCAAGCAGGAGTAAAAGGACTTCAAAATTTAAACCAGGATACTCCTTGCAAGATACATCTGTGGCCCCCCAAATGCAGTTTATTTCTAAAAGTACTTCAGGTAAACATACTATATGAATGATACAATTAGCCTCTTAATTTCTTAAAGAACTAAATCATTAGGCTCAGTGCCTGTGGCTCAAGTAGCTAAGGCGCCAGCCACATACACCTAAGATGGCGGGTTTGAATCCAGCCCAGGCCCACCAAACAACAATGACGGCCCAACCAAAAAATAGCTGGGCGTTGTGGTGGGCGCCTGTGGTCCCAGCTACTTGGGAGGCTGAGGCAGGAGACTCGCTTGAGCCCAGGAGTTGGAGGTTGCTGTGAGCTGTGATGCCACGGCACTCTACCCAGGGAGACAGCTTGAGGCTCTGTCTCAAAAAAAAAAAAAAAGAACTAAATCATTAAATAATACTACAGCATTTACAAAACTTGACTCTACTCAAAGCTCTCTTTATATTGGTGGCATTTCATTTGCTTAATTGTAAACTATTTCAAGGCAAAAAAAGGCTTACATTCATCATTATATTTTAAATCTGTATGTAAAATCTTTTGAAAATGCTTTGTTAAGCTAACACTCTTAACATACGTGATAAGGTTAAGTGAAACTCATGGCTTTAAAACCAAAATAATCAAAAGAAGTACCATAGTTTCTCAAATCAGTAAAGTAGTTATTAAAATCAAGCACTTGATACTAAAGTGTGTTTAGAAGTAATTGGTTTGAGGGCTGACTTTAAATATCAGAAAATTAATGTTCATTTTTCATTTTAAAAGCCTGTATAATTTACCAGTGTGTTCATTTATGCATAAACCTCTATAAAAGATGAAATGATAATAAACTTCTAACTAAATGAAAAAAATGTTAAAGTAGAGGAAAAGCCAAAAGCAGCAAGACACAGCAAAAATTAAATCCTTGAGTAAAATCTGAGAATCTTTACAAGGAAATAGGTTATATAATTAAAATCAAAATGTCTTGGGATATCGTTAAGGGCAAATTAGTATTTTCAGAAAACATTATTTTAGTTAGAATTTTTTCTTTTATGTAGCTGACTTCCAAAAAATAGAGACACAGACATCTGGAATCAAATAGAACATCATGAGATAAAACTAAAATCTTACAGCCACCTGATTTTTGACAAACCAAATAAGAACATTCACTGGGGGGGGGGGATCCCTAATTCAACAAATGGTGCTGGGAGAACTGGATAACCACGTGTAAAAGACTGAAACTAGCCCCGCACCTTTCACCATTCACTAAAATTGATTCAAGATGGATAAAGGATCTAAATCTAAGGCATGAATCAAAGAAAATGTGGGAAAGACCCTTGAAGATATTAGCCTGGGGAAAGATATTATGAAGACTTCCATGGCAATTGCAACAACACAAAAATAAACAAATGGGACTTAATTAAACTGAAAAGCTTCTGTACAGCTAAAGAGACAACCACCAAAGCAAATATACAATTATCAGAATGGGAAAAGATATTTACATATTATGAATCACACAAAAGCTTGGTAACTAGAATCTACAGAGAACTCAAATTAAGCAACAACAACAAAAAAAAGCCAATAATCCCCTATATCAATGAACAAAAGACGTGAATAGAACCTTTTCTAAAGAAGACAGACAAATGGCTACCAAGCATATGAAAAAATGCTCATCATCCTTAATTATCAGAGAAATGCAAATCAAAACCATCCTGAGATATCACCTAACCCCCATGAGAATGGCTCACCTCACAAAGACTCAAAGCTACAGATGCTTGGGTGGTTGTGGAGAGAAGGGAGGAACACTTTTACAGTGCTGGTGGGACTGCAAATTAATACAACCCTTTGGAATGAAGTATGGAGAACCCTCAAAGAACTCAAGCTAGACCTCCCATTTCATCCTGCAATCCCATCACTGGTCATCTACCCAGAAGAAAAAAAATCATTTTACCATAAGGACATCTGCATTAGACTCTGTTGGGTGAAATTCTTTCTCACAGGGAGGGAAGGACGGCTTGGCTGTGGGTGCAAGCTCGCTCCTAGAATTGTATTAAAGCAAGAAACAACTACATACTCTTAGATGGCGTGTAGCAAAATGTCTTTATTTTTCACTCTCTATATTGAGAGCTAGTCACATACACCACATTGATCAATAATCCTAACATCCTCAATTCTTATCTTAAACTATAGAAAAGAAAGAAAGTCCGGGAAAGTGAGATAACCATCATACGATTAGCCTAAGGAAAGAAAGTCCAGGAAAGTAAGACAACCATCTTAAGCTAGCCTTACGCTGTTCCTCTCTGAAGACCTAAAAGAACTATACATTATCTGACTTCTATTGTTAAAGTTAAAGGTTAGGATAAACAGAGGAGTAAAACCTTTTTCTTCTATGTACTCAATTAAATTTCCGAGAAACAGGCTCCATGACTGTTTTCTTATGGTCTGGAGACCCCGCAGTTACAATGGAGTGTTTTACTCACATCATTATGATGGAGATTTTCTTTTCATTCACATCAACCTTTGAGTCATGTCCTCTGCACAGATGGGTCATTTCAACCCTTATCTGGGAGGCTGACTTGACTGCAGGTGCAAGTTTGTTCCTAGAATTGACTGTGAGAATACAGTCAGGGTTCCCTGTAGGAGGTTTTTAAGCCTTGCCTGCAGCTCCCCACTGTTTTCCAGGTCGCTTAGGCCTTGACAAAAGTGCATAATACTCGCAAGTCTTTTCGCTCAGTTTCTGGAATTAAAAGAGCACATTTCATTTAATTTTTGTGGGACTTTACCCCACAAGACTCTTTATTGCACCTCTATTTACAATTGCCAAAATGTGGAAACAACCTAAATGCTCACCAACCCAGGAATGGATTAACAAGCTTTGGTATATATATATACCATAGAATACTATATTCACTAAAAGGAATGGTGACTTTACATCTTTACTATTAATTTGGCTGGAGTCAAAACACGTTCTTCTTAGTAAAGCATCATAAGAATGGAGAAACAGGTTCGGCGCCTATACATCAGTGTTATGGTGCCAGCCACATACACTGGGTCTGGCAGGTTCGAACCTAGCCCAGCTCTGCTAAACAACGACAACTACAGCAACAACTACAAAAATAGCCAGGCACTGTGGTGGGCACCTATAGTCCCAGCTACTGGGGAGACAGAGGCAGGAGAATTGCTTAAGCCCAAAAGTTTGAGATTGCTGTGAGCTGCAATGCCATGGTGCTCTACTGAGGGCAACATAGTGAGACTCTGTCTCAAAAAAAAAAAAGAATGGGGAAGCAAAAATCCAGTTCTTTCTCAAGAATACTCAATTCTGATATAAGGACAATTGCTGCTAGCCCATGGTGGGGGGAGGGAGAATGGTGGAAGAGAGAGAGGGAAGGAGGGGGTTGTGGCACACCACAGTGTGTGACACACCTCTTGGGAGCAGGACACTATTAATAGAGGGACTTCACTCAACAAACAGAAGCAGTGTAACCTGGCTTGTTGTACCCTCAATGATTTCCCAACAATGAAAAAAGAAAAAATAAATAAATAAATGTAGCCAACTTAATCACACACAAAATTTCTATATAAATTCCCTTTCATGAACCTCATTAAAACTTACATAGACCGGCTCAGCATGCATAGCACAGTGGTTACAGCACCAGCCACATACACCAAACCTGGTGGGTTCAAACCCAGCCCAGGCCAGCTAAGCAGCAATGACAACTGCAACAGAAAAATAGCTGGACACTGTGGTGGGCACCCATAGCCCCAGCTATTTGGGAGCCTGAGGCAAGAGAATCACTTAAGCCCAAGAGTTGGAGATTGATATAAGCTGTGGCACTCCACCGAGGGTGACATAATAAAACTGTCTCAAAAAAAAGGAACTTACGCAGACCATCTATAACATCCTTGGACTTAAATTTCTCCTTCTCAAAATAACCATTTTATTTTAGGAAAAAAATTCACCAAGCAAGATACTTTTTCATACAACATTATTTTCTTTTCTATTTAACCTTTTTAATAAACAGGTTAATAAAATGCGCCATCAGTTTTTATATTCATAAGTTTTTTATATCTTATTCTTCTATTTATTGATTCCATTCAGCCTTCTTTCATTTTCTAAATTCATATATTGAATTAATCTTTAAATAACTTCTGAAATAGACAACATTATTTTCTTCTTACTAAAGAGCATATTTTGGGAGAGTTCTGGGAAGATGGCTGACTGGTGGCAACCCTTGTCAGAGGCTCCTGAGCAGAGGAAGAAAAACTGGATGGAATTGGCCTCTATGAAGCCAAAGATGGGGAGCCGAGCCAAGAAAGAAGTTCAGCAGGAATGCACTCCAAGGAAGAGCATTCAAGAAAACAAATTATGGGTACAAAGCCTATTGACTTGAGGACAGGAGTCCCCTACCCCAAGCAGAGTATCTGCGAACAAGCAGGGAACAAAAGACTTCTCATTTTACCTCACTGGAGAGAGCCACTAAACTCCAAGTCTCTTTCTCCAGGGAGGTCCCACTTAATGAACCGAGACTACCCTGCCACGCATAAAATGGAACAGATATTTTCCCCCACAAACTCCCAGTCCACTCTTTCCCCATCGCATGGCTGTCTGAAGTTCTTCCCCCTGCAGAGCATAGAGTGTTTGGTCTTGTCCTGAGAGACCTGGGCATAGGGTGGACTGCCAACCATCAGGACAGAATCTGTCACTAATGGGGAAGAAAGAGGGAGGAGGAAGAAAGAGACACTCGGCAGGAGGAGGAGCAGTCCCCTGGTTATGACTATGCCTGGCCAGTGGTAGTGTTGACCCTTGGTTTGGGCTGTGTCTGGCAGGATGGGGTGCAGAACCCCCAGCTCTGATTGCACCCACAGCAGTAGAGTGGTTGCCCCGTGTGGATTGATTTTGGTAGACAGGGCTGGTCCCCAGCCCCTGCTGGGCCTGTGAGCAGACTTGATAGGCATGGACTGTGACCTGAGAGCAAGGGTGTGGTCTCCTGATTCCAACAGAACACTCCAGCAGTGGTTTACTGGGTGTGAGCCAGGACCTGAGGGCTAGGGTGTGCTCCACTGTCTCCAGCAGGGCTGGTGAGCAGAGGCTTACCAGGTGAGGACTGAGACCTAAGGGTGGAGTGTGGT